TTCTCTCTATCTCTCTATTGAGAATTTTCTATTGCAAAGATTGTTCTCCATTGAATGATTTTTCCTTATTCTAATATCTAAAAATTTTTCCAGATGGTTGAAGTGAAGCGTGATGCGACAGCGGCAAGATCCAACGCCCAAGACGCTTTCAATTACGCCTTGAAGGCGCGCAATCTATCGGACAACGTGAGCAAAGACCTATCGGACATAAACAAACGAATTCGCAGTACCCTGGACGAGGATCAACCAACGCCAGCAATGGTCAGAGATCTGGCCAACGAAGTACTGGCTAAGAACATTCGATTGAAACCCGACAAGATTAAAGAATTAGCAGATAGAATAAAGAGTATCGTTGGTTCCTTGACCGACTCGGAGATGATTCTCGCAGCCACGAAGAACGATCTTCAGCTGGCTGAGGAATTAAAGGAACGAGCTAACAGAACCAAAGAAGACGCTGTAGAGAAGCAAATTCTAGCGAACAAAGTGGTCGTTTTGTTGAACGATGCGCAAATGGCTCAAGATCGAGCGCAGCTGGCTATTGATAAGGCTGAACGTGACGTCAGTAGATCTGAAAAGGATCTGGAAGAAATCGCGGAAGTGACTGTTGGGGCTCGAATGCAGGCGAACAGCACAATACAGACTGTCGACTCGTTGGACGCCCGTTTGAAGCAACTGCAAACGCAATCGGCGAGAAACAACTTTGTGCTGAACCAGGAAATAGGCCACGAAGCGCGTAACGTGACTAACGAGGCGCACATAGTCGATACTAAGACGAAGGATCTCGCCAAAGAGTATAGACAAGCTGACGAGTTGCTGAACATGAGGGTGAACAAGAGCGAAGGAAACATACTGAGGGCCAAGAAACTCTTGCAGAAGGCATCTGAGCTAACTGCAGATACTTCGACGAAATTTAAGGATCTGGATGGCATGGAGAGTGTTTACAAGGATAATGCGAGGACGCTGATAGATTTGATGGGGCAAGTTGACTCGTTGACTGGAGAGATGGAGAAATATCTGATGGAAATTGAAATAAAGGCGCAAAAGTATAGGCAGTGTACTTCTTGAATGGCTGGTTGATGTTTGTGTCATCTTGTTTTCTTCGTTCTTGAGAAATGTGTGTTTAGCGAGGTTCTTTTTTTTTATTCTTTACGGTTTGATAATAGAGGTTTCTCCATCTTTTTTCTCGCAAGATTTCATTCATTTTTTTACTCATTTTCATCGATTCTCGTGTATACCTACTTTACACTGGAAGTGATAGGTTGATCAAAATTTAATGAAAAAATTTATTTTGCTGAATGTGAAAGGCTCACCTGTTGGAAACTTCAATTTTGTACTTTTGTACCTTTTGTAATTTTCGATTACGAATATCTGTAGTTGGTTATGGAAGAAATCTATGTTACCTTTAATGGCATATAATGATGAGCAAAAGATTAGTATCGTAGTGGAACGTTGCGATGATGGAGTAGATGAGAAATGTAAAATGTAGGTAATTTTTAAGAGATTGTCACGAAAAAAAGTTGAGCCGATTTTTTTCATTCTTTCGAAGTATATTAAAAATGTATCTTGCGATGTGAGGCGTAAGTAGTAGATTAAAGTTTCCATCTTGTCTCTCTCTCTCTCCGTCTCTATTTATATATAATATATACTATATATGTATATTTATACATAACTTTTCGTTAAAAGTTTAACATGTCATTTTTAAAATGGTCTTCCAAATAATCACGAGATGTGCCAAGAAAGAAAACAGAATTGAAATTTTTTGTTTATTGCATTTATTACTACAGTGGACGAAAAACATTGTAAGCAGAACTGAAATATGTACAAAATCAACGGAAAATCCTAATACTTTTCTTTTTTATATAGATCGACACTAACACGTGTAAGAGTTATGTACAAAATCAACGGAAAATCCTAATACTTTTCTTTTTTATATAGATCGACACTAACACGTGTGAGTTTCGAAACTTATGGCCCTTGCTTTGAGAACCTCTCTCAAAGTGAGGGAGAAGTATGCAAAGAGTATCACTGATTTGATGAGTCAGAGATGTGTTCAGAATGCATTGATAAGGATGTGAATGCCTTTTCACCGTTAATATATTTACGTCGTTGAATAATTGAAAGAAAAGAAACGATTTTAATAACTTGTTATCGAATACATGGCGTATGTTGTTTTATATCACGATTACAGTGGAAATATTTCCACGTTGATAATTGTTAAGAATCATATAAAAATTTCGATGTAATTATTCCAAATGACAAACGATCAACTTTAAACATTAATTAATCCGACAGATGAGAAAGAGTATTTAAGTTCTTGAAGACACATTTTGATTGTACGATTTTTATAATAGGCTAATGGTAAAATGATTGGATATTGCAAAAAGAAATATCGAATACTGTATACGTAAAACGACTGAACTAGTTAATAGTACACGATTAAAAGGTATCAGTATTGATACTTAACTCATAATAGATTCAATCGATTTACACATTTTTTAAATAAGTTTCTGTACTTATAGAATGTGTTTACGTTGCATTTATAATAAGACACTGTGCAATAGACAGATAGAAGTTTTCTTTTTATCAATAGTTTGTAAATATACTGCTATGTTTTCTCCACGAAAGTGCATTTCCCTCTTTCGTACGCATCTTTAAGGAATAAAATATGTAATGTTAGAATTTAATGAGAAGTGCGTTTTTTTTCTTTCTTTTTTTAGTCGAAACTCGTGGAAAATAGAACGTGGAGATTGAATTATTAGACGAAATATCTGACCAAAATACGAGTTTCATATATTTTTTAATACACAAACTGCCCATAATGTATACTGTAATTTTATACCAGTGATCTGTGTAGAATATGAAACATTTGTAAAAAAGCAAATAAACATGTAACGGTATGAAGATAAGATTTCGAATTTGCAAAGCAGAAGAGGCCAAGAAGCTGTTAAAAAGAAAAAAAAGAAAAAAAAAAGAAAAAGAGGATTATAGCTATTTATAGATTGATATAATTTAGAACAACAACAGAACCATTGATATTGTCAGCGGTGTTCAGGCAAAGAAATGAAACAAGGCTCTAATTAAACCAAACGATTTTTGATTGTATTTAATGAATAGTTACGTTTATACGATGATAGAGAATTACATATTAGAAGAAATAAATAAAATGGAAACATAAATCGAGCTGTTGTTATTTATTCCATTCCACTTGTTTCATTATTAAATTTAGAACGAGAGAAGAACGAAATTTTTCTAAATCATACAATTATTGTATTATCCAATAAAAATTGAATCAAACGAACTATAACCTTAAAAATATTAAATTAATGAAATATTCGTATCCGATCGTAGAATTTTAGTCTAATAAAAAGATAAATCTTTTATAAACATAATTTTGTAATTTTAACGTGTCATACTTGTTTTTATCCCTATTTATTTAGTTCATTAACGACAGCTGCAGCGATTTTAAACGTGTAAAAGGATTTGGAGGCGGAAGAATCTTATCCGGCTGCAAACGATAAACTTTTGATAATGGAAAACACAAAATCTCGTGGGTTTCAGCGTGATAACAGTATTTCCTTAACGTGTGGTTTTTTTTTCAGTAAAAAGACGGAAGGACTTGCCGGAAGTGTGGAACCACGGATGATAAAGTATTCGTGTTACTAGAATTTATCATCTGAGTAAAGATTTTATGTGGAAAGATTAAGATTTTACACTGTTTATGCAGCTTCAATTTATTTGTGTTATATATTCTTTTATTAGTTATATTTCATAACGAAACTATCACAATATAGAAATTAATTTTATTGTGATAAGTGGTATTAAGAATGAAAAATTAAGATCCGATTTTATTTAAAATTCACAAGAATATTTTGTATGAAAGAAAAGTATACTTTAATACTGCTAGGTGTGTTAAGAATTTAATTTGTTATACTTCCTTCAAATTAATTCATTTTTTTACCATCTTAAAAATAACAAATTTTTCTATTTAAGTTCTGTTTTCAATTGTATCAGTTCATACTTATCTTGATGTATGCCTTTTTTCATTTTTTATTTAGTTGGAATCGAAGTGTATTCAGTTTAATCTTTAACAAAATTGTAATAACATTAGAATTAATTTTATTCGCGATCAAAATTTCATTTTAACTAAATTTAATTTAATTTACTTTCGTCAAAATTTCATTTTAATTAATTTTAATGTAATTTTGCCCA